GCGGTTAGTCGCTTGCTTTCCACCGCGCCGGCCCGGGTTCGATCCCGGGTCTGGTCAAGTGGGATTTGTTGTGAGCAAAGTGGCGCTGGGGCAGGTTTTCTCCTGGTACTTCGGTTTCCCTTGCCAATCTTCATTCCACCAATTGCTCCACAATCACCCTCACCTGTCATCTGGGGCTGGTACAATTGGCCAGAAGTGGCCGCAGTACAAGGGACTTAGTCCCAAGAACCTTGTGTGCGCCGGCCACGGTAGGTGAGCGGGGTAAGGCATGTACTGTATTCGCTCGCTCGGAAGCAGAGAACGTGGGTTCGAATCCTACACAAAGCATGGATGTTTGGTATGTGTATGTGTTTATCCTGTGTGTAGATAGCGGCCTTGTGACGGGCTGATCACTCATCCAAGCAGTCCTACCGTCTGTAAGATGATGAAAATGAAATAACAACCTCGACACCGTAAAGGTGTAAGGGGGACGGATTAAGTAAGTAAGTAAGTAAGTAAGTAAGTGTTCGTGAGTGGATGTGTTGGTCAGGATACCCTGCAATATTATGGGCCCCTGTAGACAAGGGGCGGTTGGGGCTGCATGAGAAGCACCCAGCAGCAACTGGGAACTTGTGGTCCATCTCAGCAGGCGGAGGGAAACCGTGGAGACTTGTATTGAGATGCCTGCACGCAGTTCATTTCTACCACACTAACACAGTGTGTTCTCTGTGAGGGGTAAATTAAGTTTTGAAATATTATTTCGATTCCACATGTATTCGATGTCTTTGGTTCGATTCACTGTCGGGACACCGGTTATTCGTCGTTTTCCTCAGCATCTGCAGGCAAATTCCGGGATGGAATTTCTATTAGGCTACAACCACTTTCTTCCAGATCCTTTGCGATTCATTATTCACGCTATTGTCCTGCCATTCGGCGCCATAGAGTCTGCATATAGCTGGGTGTGCACTGAAGCGCAACAAACACTGTAGCCAGAATCGAATTTGGACCCTTCACACCGAAGTTCCTACACCGATATGGAACTTATAAGGGTAAATGGGAGTTGTGCCATTGTTGCACCAAAGCGCAGGGAACAGCGACTGTTTATTGAGACGTAAAAAGCAGCGGATAAACGCAGGTTAATAAATACGCCGAGACTATCAGAGCGAAGCCGTATTCTTGTATTGGAACTTGAAATTAAAAATCTGTATTCAATTCTGCATTTGCAGAGCTTCGCTCTCTGTTGTGACTGCCTTCTTCCCTGCAGAGTGTGACGAAACTCAGGCATCACTGCTACACTCGTGCATGAAGATGGGATCTCACATGGGGAAAAGCATTTCTGCGCCCTTACCGCACCTGGGACCCACACCGCCGCTTCCTATCCAGTGAATATCAGGCGCTATTTGGCGAAGGGGAGGGTGAAGTGGCCGAGGCGTGAAGCTGACCAAGCTGTTGAGATCAGGGAAGTTGTGGCTGTACCTTCATCCCCCTACCTCTTTATTGCCTGGTATTAATCAATTAAGCTCAGGGATAATTTTGCCCTTTGCACCTTACCTCACAGTAAACCTTCGTTATGACGGACTAAGGTGCACGGCAACGGTTATGACCGATGTCTGCTATAACAGAGTGAAGGACATTCACGGAAGTGCACTATAGCCAATAACTAACGAACTAACTCTGTGGATTTAGTCCGCAAACAAACTTTATCGACCGAGCGACCGCCGCTTGTCGGCGAAGTTAATTCCAACTTCTAACGGATTGAGGGTGTCACGTGATCAGCGCAAGAAATCCCCACGGTCGTTAATTTCGGTTTTCTAGACCGGAGCCGCTATATCCTTGAAATAGCTCCTCAGTTATCCTCACGAGGTTGAGTGGACCCCGTTCCAGACCCAATACTTCTAAAAAAAATCTGGTAGAGCCAGGAACCGAATCCGGGACCTCTAGATATGTAACCAGGAACTATAACCACTAGACCACAGAGGCGGTCACACTATGGCCAATGCACGCAATAGACATAAAACACATGATGTGATTACTTAAAGATATTTGAGATCTGTTCTATTTTCAATAGTTTTCTAAAAATTTAGAATTAAGCACAGCCAGGTTTTGTCCGTTATAACAACGGGTTCACTGTACTGAATTTATGTCCCCCGTTTGTGCGTTCAAAGAATTAAAAGTAGGGCCTATATAAATGAGTTTATACAGGATTAAACTCTACAAACAAAAGACAGTGTGTGATTTGGAATTCTGGACGAGGTTGCATCAAAATGTCAGTGTTTTCCGACGTTTCGGACAAATTTACACTTGTCACGGGCGCTTATCTTATGGTTGCTATATTCACAATTCAAATAGACTGAGTCTGTAAAGAGTAATGATTTGTAGGGCTTGAAACATGGGAAGACTTTCCTCTGAATTTTCAACGGGCATTACATTAATGTCGCATAACGATGTAACCTTGCACGGGAGCGTCACTGATTACATTCGGCGGGTTATGCGGTCCTAGGGACAGGTACAAGTGTCCACTCAACTGTAGAGAGCGGCCTCTGAGACACGGAAGGACAAGATTAGCATCTCTCTTGCTGAAGTGGGCTGTGAGGATGGGAGGGGATGGAACTGGCTCAGGATCGTGTCCAGTAGCGAGCTGTGGGTTTAGCTGCTTTATTCAATACTTTCGTGACGTTGGAGAGCATTCTGTTCTACAACGTGACTCCGTGCAGTCTAAGGAACACACTGCTACCAAACTTCAGTATCGAAGAGTAGAACAAGTCACTCACTCATGGAGCTGAGCCATTCTGAGCCAGTTGTGCAGCTACTCAAGAACTTCCCAGGATTTTATGGAACCCGAAGGTTCACAGAAATATTGGGGTTTTGGACTTCTTCCATCGTCCGGAATTCTAGATAATAGAGGACACGACGTTTCGGAAACTGGATTTGTTTCCGTTTTCAGGTGAGAAAGGAAGACACCTACTCAGTTGGGTCCCTTAGAAGGTAGGTGTTTTCCTTTCTCACCTGAAGACGGAAACAGATCCAGTTTCCGAAACATCGTGTCCTCTATTACCTAGAATTCCGGACAATGGAACAAGTCCAAAACCCCAGTAATGCTCTGTGTCATCCACCATCGTCAGAACCCTTTATAATAAACCCGAAGATTCATTACCGTGTTCACAAGAGCCCTCCACTGGTCCCTATCCTGAGCCAGGTCAGTTCAATCCATACCATCCCATCCTGTCTCTCTAAGCACAGTTCTAACCAGAAAGGAGCACGAGTGTGTTCCAGCGAAATATCGGCAAGTGCAGCCACGCTACACGGCGTCACTTCCTTAAAAAGACGGTGCCATTTAGAGTTACTGTCATGAGGACCTCAGTTACCGGGGATTGCCGCAACACCACTTAACGCTGCAGAAAGCGAAGACTTCAGACTTTTGAAACAAACGGTTCAGTTAGGGGGTGTAAATTGTTTTGCGGTCGTCATTAAAAGTGTTGAGGGTAACCGGCGCTTCCACCCCAATGTATCATCTCACGAGAACCCTCGGCGCTCTCCCCTCGATGGGACGGCCTCGTCGTGGTAACGACTTCATGAAACAAGGCCCTAAAGCCCCATTTGAGAAACGTCATAGGTTCTCATTGCAGGAAGTTCGTGGCGACAATTTAAGCACATCACACAACGGCGACTGGGGACGGGGACGCCCTGCGTCTGACCGAGTTGCCGTCCTTCGCGTCTTCATGGTGATCCCCAGCCTGTCCAGAGGTTTCCGAGTCATCTAGAAGTACGTACAAGTGGAGGTACTGCTCCACCAGTGTCATTTTTGGCACTAAATGAAAGAAGAATGATCAGCTCCCAGTGCCCATTGTATAGGAGTCTGTGTGGGACGAAACGCCGGTATGGTTGTTATGGAGATCTTGCCCCTGCCTGGGATCGAACCCCCATTCCTCCGTCTTCCTACCAGTACCTACTACTCAACTATTCCGGTTGGGTTTAAATTTTAAAATAGGCCACAACCATCTCTTGCAAACTGTTAATTACTCACCATCTGACAGCCTCCATAAATCGACGCTAGATGTATATAGTGATAACGTGTCGTTAAATAAGGCAAGAATCGCCCCATTTTATGCTATTGTCAACTTGAAACATGCAGGTTAGAGTAGCGGTAACACTCTCAAGCTTTTAGTCTGGTCGTATGTAGTTCGATTTTCAGTGTTTTTATCGATTACGCAAAATGTTGTTCCTAGCGATTTCTCGATATTTCGTACAGGCGATATTGCGCTACCTTGAACAAACCATCAGCTACCTCGTCGAAATCCTGAAGTCTGCATACCGTTCCTGAAGAATAAAATCACGAACTTCTGAAATTTGGCGCCGTGTAATTTAATCTATATGTACCAAGGTTTATGAATAATCCAGTGCTTGAATCTTAACATTTTCCTGAAAATGGAGGCGACAGGTTCCTGAGAAATGTTACTAATACTAAACTATACGGCGTCACATCCCAGAAGTCCGTAATCTTAATATTTATTCTGAAACATATCAGAGTTTACGTTGCACCTCAAGAAGGCAAGAGGCCGCGCGGTAGCTTAGTTCGTTGAGGCTTTATGCTAGAAGCCGGAAGGTCACGGGATCGAATGCCTATGAGATCATTCGATTTTTTAATTGACCTAATCTTTCCCGCCGCATTATTGCCATGGCGTCAACTCAGCATCTGACAGAAATGAGTACCAGGAACCTTCCTGGCCGTCGACGAGTAAGGCTGACAACCTCACCGCCATCTGAGAGCCGATTGTCTAAAGAAATTGTGGGAGCCTCGACGTCCCACAACCCTATTGGCCTCCACGGTCTGTTACAGGAATAGCTTTACGCTACCTTTACCTTTTACCTCAAGTTGGAATGTGTAAGGAAGAAAAGTGCGCGTGTGTTCAACGAGAGCCCCAGTATGACGATATCCAATAATGACACAGACAGAGTGGAGCCCCTCTGGCCACCGTGAGAACACGTGAGAGTGTGCGGTCACTCACACGAGTGGTACTCACTGGAAGGAGGACTGTGGTGCAGTGGCTCCGGTGGCGCGCTGTCACCGCTGCTGGTGGCCCCCGGGAAGGCCGGCTGTTGAACGCTTCTCTGCTGCTGTTGCAGTATATTTATCGCCAACTCCTGGCCGCCTCCGGAGGGTGGCACCACGGGCGGTGCTCCCACTGCTGCGTGGGGAGCGGCCGACGCGTTGTACAGCATGCCCAATTCCCGTGCTTCGCTCTCTTCCTGCGCCTGTTGACGTCTCAACGCCACCTGCAGCACACAGATATTCCTTCTTGTTGAATTTACACTGAATTTAATGCCGCTGTCACTGCTCAGACTAGGTGACGTCGAGTGATTGGGTGTGGGTGTAGAATGAACTAGGAAGAATCTGGAAAGGATGCTTCGCTGTCACATTTAAGGATCTTCTCGCGACGCTCATCTAGAGGGACGAGGGGATAGCGGGACATCTCGGTCAGTATTACCGGCGGCCTAGTCTGGGTTCTTTCCGCACAATCTTCTTGCTGCCTTTACTTATTTTGTGGACATAAAAGTAAGCTTATGAGATCACAGTGCTGTCTGTGTGCCTGTAAGCGGACACGAAGGCGATGCAAGTGATTATGATAACAAAATCAGTGAAAGAAATTCTGGGAAGAACTAATAGCCTAATTTCCTTTCGCTACATTTTGCCTATTTGGCACAATATAACATATAAATTCTATTGCTGCGTATTCCTTGCGCGAAAACATATTTACGGAGCCGTTTCCTAGCAACTGTCATCTCTTCTGTCACCGCTGTTGATATAAAGCAGACACAGACACCGAGCCTACGTTTATTTTTATAATAAGGAAAGTGGGCTAATAATTAATAATAATAATAATAATAACACTGACGGAGTGAAGCGGTGGATCGGTGGCGTCCTGAATGTGTCAGACACAATTCCGCGAAGCGGTTACTCCGATTTAAAGTAACCTATAAAAATGTTACTCTATTTTTTTTTCGCAGAAATGTAAATATCTGCGCTGTAGAGGTTCTGCGCAGCTCTTGGTGGCTCTTCGCGTCTGAAGAAGCTTTTAAAAACCTTTTAGGCACTTAATGAGTCACTTGTGTTGAAGTCGGGCATAACCGGGGCACGAACAGTTTCCATCTTGATATATTCGCAAACAAGCCAAGTCCCCTCTCGAGCACATGAGGGCCCTCCACGTATCTGTTCGGGGCGACAAGCACGGTTGCCTACCTCACAGGGCTCTCTCTCTACATGGCTTCATTACTGAAGTGATTCAAACTAATGGATAGCAAAAGTCTGCTAAGTTCAGGCCTACCCCGCCTGGACCTAAATTTCGGTGGTTTCAGTGAACATTGCCATTCTCATTTTCAGGCGTTCCCAGGTTCAAATCTCGGTATGGAGACCTGATATCCTGAATGAAATGTTTCGTGGTTTTTCTTAGTTCCACCACGGCAAATTTTCAGGATAGTAGGCCACGACCTCTTGTACTTTGTACTTTAGAACAGTTTCTTCGTAAGGACAGCGGCTTAATGCTTTATTTCTGTTAATGTTTTTGAGAATAAAACAAAACGCCACTCAAGCGCGGATGCTGGCAGTTTTCCTGTGCCCAGAAGATGAATTAGATTAACACTATACGCAGTAGTTTAGGCTTCATCCTCCAGCCAGGGATGCCAATGTTGCGAAATGTACTCTATGTAGCAATTCATTTATGTTTTAAAAGGAATGTGGTTTCCCGTAAAGAACAATTTTCCTTTGTAATCCCAGTTCGTTTCCTGTTTCTTACTGCATTTTATGTTTACTACGAACCTGAAACCCGGGTCCGTTATGAGGCGAGGTCATGCCACGAGTTGGCGGACTCCCGCGTCAGCAACCCAGGTTAGATCCCAAAATAAGTCTTGTGAGTGATTTTGTTGAACATATGAGCATGGGTCCGGATTTTATGGAAGTACTTCCGTTTCCCCTGTAAATTTTCATCCTACCAATCATCCCATATTCATTAATCATACTCCCACCGACGCAATATAGTCTCCATACTGTCAGCATCGTTAAACAACCAACTTAAAATGTACGGGTTCTTTGCTGTTACTAAGTACACTAGAAAATTAATTTCGTTTAGTTGTTATCCTTTGTCGGTGTAATTTCTTAGCCGTGCTAACTTTGTAATTGGCCTCTGGGCTGTTAAATTTGCACGTAAATAAATAAGAGTTGAAATGAAATGTTTTTATTGGGAACCAAAATATCTCAGTCGGAAAACCGACTCGTTATGAGCTGGAGGACGGGGTTCGGTTCCAGGGAGAGATTTTTCTCTATTTCACAACGTCCAGACTGGCTCTGGGTCCCACCCAGCGTGCAATCCAATGGGTAGGAGTGGTAATACGGTCGGGTCGTGAAGCTGACCACTCATTCTGATGTGGAGGTCAAGAATGGTGAGCTATAAACCCACTCCCGCAATATTTCTTGATGGCGTTTTGCTTAATTAATTAAGAGCAGAGAGCTTTGCCTTTTATTATTGATACTTGAGAGGCGCTTATCAAATAAGGAAGCGCAAATACTGAAATTTCGGACAGAAGGCAAACTTTAGAACAAGATACAGAGAGTCCAGCCGAATCTTCAGTCCATAAATGTTTCCGCCATTTGTCCAAATTCTTGACAAGTCACAAGGCGACCACCTGTATTTGCTCAGTTCGTAAGCCAAACAGTGCAGGCTCTGAGCTGACGCGCATGCCCAAAGGAAGAGCGTCTTTGGTTAAATATTGGAACACGGCAGACGCATCGGAAGACTTGGAACATTGTAACGAGAGAAATTCAATTCTCCTCAGGCGTAGAATCTGGGACAACCGGATCCTTTATCTCAGGGCACACATGCGCCAGAAATCGATGTTCATGAATCGGGAACGGCTGTCAGAGTAAATAAACTGCAGGAAGTTCCGGCAACCCGCACAACTTCGCCAGATTCTCTGATATTTCAGATATTTTTCTTACGTGAAGCTCTATATGACCAGATATGTGTAAAAGTGAGGTTAAACATTGTCACGTGTTAGGGTTGTGACTATTAGACGGGGTTTGGATTGGATAATTGGATTTATTGCACCCTATACATTCACGTAACTCGGGACTGCAAGTAACACAAAGCTATGCTGATCTACACACTTACAGTTCACCGTTACACACGCACTAGAGTTCTCAGTCCTCACTAGTCGTATCCTGGCAACGGATTTTAGCAGTCGCTATACCGACTGAGTTATCTGGGTACAGAAATTTGGTGGACCACTTGGACAGAAGAGCAGATAGAGCTCCAGAAAATATTTTTAAACGCGCTCCATGTCCGACGAATGTGTACCCAGAACACAGTTGGCTTGGTATAGTGACTATGTTTCTTCGCGGTTTTCTCCATTTCCTCCCGTGAGATAAACGCTTGTATAATACCTCCGTTAAGCCAAGACATTTTCACTCGTCAGTCGTCGCGACGAGACTGACGGAGCACACAAACACTGACTTCAGTAGAAATTAAATTTTGAACGAAATATTTCAAACTGACTATCGATTGTCTAAGATCTATGTGTCGACGCACAGCCATAAGCTGTAAGCCTATGGGGCTTATGGGATAAGTCGGATCAATTCGGACAACCATAGGACAAGGCATGGGAAAGCCTTCTCACTACGAATATCTGTAAGCATCAGCAAATAGAGCAACCACAAATGTTTCCAAAATTTGATCTTTGATATTTCGTAACTGAACAAACTTGGTTCAAGCAGCAGCACTCCTGACTTGTATTATAGAAGTGCCCGGTTCGAACCTCTACCGGTACACTCACTATCACGAATAAAATTTTACGTGGTTTTGCTCTCCACCCAGCAATATATGTCAGAATAGTAGACGTGTATTAAATTAGGCCACGACCACTTCTTTTCACACCCTTTTCTTCCATAATCATGGTACATTAGGACGTTATAGAGCGTACAGTCAGAGTTTATTAATGCGTCGATAAGGGAACCACACGTGTGTAAATAACAAGGATATCAGCGAAGTAGATTTTGGTAATAACGACGAGAGGAACAATCAGAAAGACCTGTGTTTTTAAATTTTAATTGTTAAACTAAGTGCAGTGAGACAGATACGTGAGTAATACACCTGATGATGGCCGTTTGTGGCCGAAACATGTAGTATGTAAAGGAGAGCAAAACGAAAGACGGAGTTTGTATCATGTAACGTATGGAGTGCACCAGGATGCCTAAATATGATATTGTAAAGATAATAAGGGAACCACAAATAAAAAAGAATTTAAATAAAATATAAAATTGTTCTCAAAACCACAACAATGTAAATTATTTGGAACTTAACCGCAGATTGATTTTGCTTTTTACGTCTTCTAGTCCAATATTCAACTTACGCACGGAACTTAAAATGTTTCAAGAAAAAATGTATAATTTGTAAGATTTGAATTTTCACGGCGGTGACTATGAAGAATACGGTCTTCTTGGGTGTGGCACCGAGTTGATATTGTGTTAACCGACGTTACGGAGTAACATATCCCTCGTTCCTCGCTCGCGGATTATCCTACCTTGAAATTTGAGGCGATATGTTCCTCCGAAACGTCGGTTCACACAAGATCTACACGGCGCCACATCCCGCAAGACGGCATTTTTCAGATCAATAATTTCTAAGCCTGATTGTTTCTAATACACTTTACAGGACTATAGGCCTGCTGTGTACAGCTTACAAAATATTATTAAGATTAATCTTTGTTGATACGAATAGGTGTGTCACAAATTTCGATTTGACATCCATCCAGGCTAAGGGCCCCACAAAGCCAAATTGGATTCGTCCGAAATTTAGTACAGCTCTTGCAACATGTTATTGAAGCCACAGATAGGGCTAATATTAATGTATTGGATTGTATATTGGGCACAGCAGCGTTTGCAGCAGGCGAAGTTGCTGTCTGATAAATATTACCTTACAGTAATTTGCACAGCCGGATGCAACAGAATATGTGCAAATTAGGCTAATCCAACTTCTCCTCTATTGGTTTTGGTGCCAAAACAAACCGACAGACATACGCACTTCATTAACATAATGTAAACTAACAGTTATCTTGAAAGCGTATAGATTCTAGTTTCTCTTATGGGCAACACAAAGCCTAACAGAGGCCTGACACATGCACTGACAGCTGGAGCCGCCTCTAACGCTTGTTCACGCTGCAGTGCGATGGTTTCTAGGGATCTCTCTTCTGAATATAAGATTATAAGATCTCTAAAAGTTTATGACGATGGTGCTATAGTACAAGTATTATGTTTCTGGACATTATCAGTCGTCCTGTTTATTTTTCAAAATACAACGTTTCGGAGACTGGATTCTGTCTCCGTCCTCAGGTAAAACCTACTCAGTTGTGTTTTGAGAAATAAACAGGACAGTTTTCAGATACAGACAAGACGATGGATAATGTCCAGAAATTCAATACTTGTACTGAATATAAGATGATTCTACAACCATTGCATAAGCCCGCTGAATTTATCAGTCGAGACTGAGTCTACGTAGGCCTCTTCTACTACAAGAAGAATCAAGTGCGTCTAACGAGAAGCTAGGCCTCGGTTAGACAGCGTCAGATGGGAGGATGATAGATTTATGATGAAATAGAAGGGATTTGGGAGGAACCGTTTGTGGCCGAATAGACGTATTATCCCGGCATTTGTCTGGGAGAACTGAGGAAAACCACTGAAGATACCGGGGAGGATCACTTTTGTCTCGGCTGCGATTCTAACTGGATACTTCAGGACACAAATTTGGTGATTACTTCTAGAGCAACCTTCGTTTTAAGAGGGTGGAGTCGCACTGAGGGAAACAGACTTCTGTTAACGCTGAGACATATCAAACCAATGCATTTTATTTAAACTAACTTAACCTAGCTTAACTTTATCTAACCTAATATATCTAAGGACCCATTTTGCCTAGAGAATTTGTTGTATTCCGAACATTTCTCACAATAAACAGCGACTGTTTCCCTAAACAGCAGTAACCGGCTGGGTTCTGTAGTGGTGACGTAATGTTTCCTGTGAGGTACGGACTGAACACACTAAAACCCTGCATTCTGCTCACAGAGTGTATCTGTGTGTTCCGTATGGTTCTCACAGCAAACAGCGACTGTTTCCCTAAATAGCAGTAACCGGTTGGGCTTTGTAGCGGAGACGTAATGTTTCCTGTGAGGTAGGAACTGAGGTTTTATATATTACTCATAAGAAATTAAGTTTTTAAAGAGTCAAGTTACTTACATATTTTCCTAGATATTGAATTAACCAAGTCGTCAAGAAATTCCCTCAAAGAGTCTAGCCCTCTAAAAATCACGTGGGATTCAATACCATGTAGTCCGGTGGATATTCATTGGCGTTTCGGAAGATTATGCTGCGTCCATCTTCAGAACTAAGTTCGCCGTTTGGTTCTTCCCAGTCTCTGGCTTGACTTATTTTCCGATCCTGAAGATGGAGGCAGTACGTTCCTCTGAAACATCAGTGGCTTCTTGCCGAACTACACATCCTAGGATACAGCAATTCTATAAGCTAAACCGCGGTCACTTCGCACTTACGCATTCTCTTGTGATGCAGGCCCCCAAACCGCTAAGCCTGCGAGAAAATTGAGCGGTGTTTCCCGGAGACCGCGTGAGACTCATCTTCACTATTTTCCCTTTGATTTTAAAGTTTCATCACTTGCATCTTGTTTAACGGCGCTCTCAGTAGCGCAGATTATGTAACGTAGGCTGGTAGGATGCCGATCAGAGTGGCCGGCCGCGCGGTCTAAACACAGGGATCGGGGGTTCGAACCCAACTTCAAACAAGCATGTTTATGTGCGTTTATTCGGTGTTTGTGTTGTCCTGTGAGTAGGTAGCATCCTTGCGACTGGCTGATCCCCCATCCATGGAGTCCTACCAACAGTGTATACGATTAAGGAACTGAAGGACTGTAGAGCAACAGATAGATAGATAGATAGATAGATAGATAGACACGATAATCAGTGAATAATGAATTGGAAAAATGTGGAAGGAAGTGGCCGTAGCCTACTTTAAAGTACACCTCTGCCGACACTTTCCTTTAGAGACTGAGGAGGCTAATTGCATCAAGAATAATGAGACGTTTAGGAAATTTAACCGGAAAGGGGTACAATGAGAAATGCATGCTAAGATTTTGGTAAGAAAACCTCGAGCGATTTGGGAGACCTAATTGTAGATGGAAGAATAATATTAAAATACATCGTGGAGATATTGCTTCGAAGTAACTTTGTGTTCACTTCTGTGAAAGCGATTGCTTACCTGCGCGTTCTATGAACACAAAATATTTGTTTTGTCATCTGAGATAATACCGCGAATCTGAAGAATTTTTTCTTTTATGTGACACCGTGTAGTCTGGTGTAAGTTTAGCGACGTTTAGGAGGAACCTCCATTCTCAGAGTAGAAGAGAAAATGAAACAACTATCAAGAAACAAGCAGATGCTGGTTGAATGCTAAGCTTATTCCTGGATAGTGAAGATGGAGGCAGTTAATTCCTTCGAAACGTCACTAAATTTCCACTGGACCACATGACGTCATATCCCACGAGATAATGAAGTGTATAGTTACCGCTGCGGGAACCTCAAGTCTAACTCCGGAACGCAACTTGACGCCCAGTCGGATCACTGGGACATGACGCCCGCCACCCCGCCGTGTAGACATAGGCCGGAACTTGGACCTCTCTTTCCCATGAAATCCGCTCTGACCATGTGATTTCAGTGATTTCAGCAAATCATAGTCTTCATGTTTTGGAAATACTAACGTAACTAAAATTGTCCCTCTGTTTAATTAGTTAAGCGCTACGCCATGAAGACATGGAGGTATAGCCCACCATTCTTGACCTCGGCACTAGATAGAGGAGAGTGGTCAGCATTACGCGCCGGCCACTTTAACCTCCACGCGAAAATCGTCCATTCGAAAAGAGGGTGAATGGGCCCCAGAGCCGGTCTGGACGCTGTGGGGAAGAAAAAAATTTTGCACTCGAACCTCGGCCGTCTAGCCCCGTAACCCGTCACTATGCCAACTGAGCTATCCAGGCTCCACGTTCTGGAAATATTAGAAATATTGTGTCTTAGCGTCATATTGTGTGTGGAATGTCTTTATTCTCTTCCGTAAACACAGTAGGTAGTATGGGCCCCCCTATATGTTTGTTTCGACTCATTAAGCCATCATCATCATCAGGTATTTGTCTTTTTATATTCACTTGTATTTATACATCAGTAGGAGAGACACAACTCCTACATGTAGACAGAACACAAGAAAACAATTTATATACGTTAAATTTAATTAAGAAGCCGGTCACGGTAGCCGAGCGGTCTAAGGCATGTACCGTCTTCGCTCGCTAGGAAACCGGGACCGTGGGTTCGAATCCCACTCAGGGCATGTATGTTTAGTTTGTGTGTGTGCGGCTTTTTGTGTCTGTGTACAGGTAGAGGCCTTGCGACGAGCTGATCACCCTAGCAGGGAGTCCTACCGAATGTGTAAGATCTACAAGACCCGAAGTGAACAGAGAAGTTCATGGAAGTAGGCCTAGGCCCACTGGGGCTGTAGTGCCAAGGGGGGGGGGGAATTTAATGCTGATTTAACATTTTAACAGTTAATATTTAATCTTAGAGTTGAACACGCCTTTTCATATATAATAGCATTAGTATTCCAGTACGTAAATACTGGCCGATATATGGAATCCTAGCAGACCAACACAGGTGAATGTAATGAAGGCAAATTCTTTATGATGTGTCAGCCCTTTAAAGACTGAGTTCCTGCTCAACTATAAATAAGAATCCAATCCGTACCTCACAGGAATCGCATTACTTCACCGCTAGAGAGCCCACTCGGTTAATACTGCGCTATTTATTGTGAGAAATGTACGAAAATCAAGTACACTCTGTGGGCAGAATACAGAGTCTTAGTACATTAAAGTCGATGGTAAATATGGTAAATATAGTAACCACTGGATTTAAAGTGTTAGTGAGCCGAAACACGTTGTACTAAACGACAAATGTGTGTTGTGACCATAAAACTTGTTTTGGGGACAGAATAAAATTAAGACATTTTCTGTTTTGGACACTCCCGTTTCCACCGCCCTAGGTTAGAGCCAATGCCCCCTGGGGGCCCCGCGCCATTTGAGAGATATGATGGAATTTATTTAAATGAAATGGCAATCTTAGTGCTCTGGCTTTACCGTTAGTGGATCGACATAAAGTGGACACTGCTGCGTACCTGTGCGGCCATGACGCGTTGCCTCTCTGCGATGAGGGTGCACTTGGCGCAGACACAGTCTCGCCACCTGCAGTACCGCTTGTGGCCCTTCAGGGCCGACACGACGCCGTGGTTGCGGCAGCGCGCACACTTGGGGGTGCGCTGGTACCGCTCCGTGGCCCGCAGGAAGAAGGCGGGCGGGATAGCTCCCAGCACGGGGTGTTGAGACATGAGGGCCGACATATCCATACCACTGGGCAGGCTCATACTGCAGCGGGAGCCTAGCAACCACACATGCTGACCGCGCAGGGCTTGGCTTCACTGCAGAACTGCCGCAGAGTTGTTGGTCTTACTGTAGAACTGCCGTTGAGTTGTTGGCTTCACTGCAGAACTGCCGTTGAGTTGTTGGCTTCACTGCAGAACTGCCACAGAGTTGGTTTTACTGTAGAACTGCCGTTGAGCTGTTGGCTTAACTGCAGAACTGTTGTTGAGTTTTTTACTTCACTGCAGAAATAATGATGAGTTTTCGGTTTCACTGCAGTGGATTTTACTGTAGAACTGTTGTTGAGTTGTTGGATTTACATCAGAACTGCCGTTGAGTTGCTGGATTCACTGCAGAACTTATGCTTATTTGTTATATTTAGTATAGAACTAATATTGAGTTTTTGCTTTTAATGTAGAATTTTTTTCTTCAGCTTTTGGGTTTACTGCAGCCGTATTTTTTATTTCTGCAAGAGCTTCGGTGCATTTAATTCAGAACTGTTGCTCAGTTAACCACTGGTGCATTGCAATTTGCAGCAACGCTATTTAATGATTCACTGGATGGTTAAATTAACTGCAGAGCTGTGGTTGCTATTCACTGCGTTCTTCAAATAATTCAACCACCAGATTGCTGAGGGAACCGAGAAAATTACCCTTCGGTTAATTATCTCGCTTTTGGGCAACTTGCATCTCTCTGTGACGAGTTATGACAGGTTAATTCAGCTGTGGACCTGAAGTAGACCATTGGGCGATTGAAGTAATTACAAAAACGATGCTTAAATAACTCTTGGGTTTTTAATTTACTTTGTTGTCACTGGGTTTTCTTATTTACAGAATTTCTGACTACTGAAGAGCTGAAATAACTCTTTATTTGTTGAGGCAGTCGCCGAGATTTTAGCCGAGATATCGAGATATTGGGTGCCACTTGTCAGTCACAGTTTTGCGATGCAGGCCTGAAATATTAATGCCCAGTAGTTCACTGTACACATATACTTCACTGCTTGATTTAATGCCGTACTTTGCTCTTGCCACACTTTCGTAAAGGCTTTAGTTCATAGCACTAAAACATATCTTAATATAATGGAAATATTTAAGATATTTCATGTAAAATATCTCGTCAACATATTTTCATTAATGTTATTTTCCTTGACAACAATTTTACCGTTTCACAATTGAAGATAGGAATGTTTTAAATTGTTTTGTGTGCGACGTTGTTTTAAATTTCTCTTCTGTTCTTCATTAAATGGAAGTTACTTAATATTTTACACTTGCAGTTGGCGTTCATAGCACACGTGACACTCACATATTCTATAGGCCTATTCTGACGTCATTTGCACCCAAAACAAGCACCAAAATTATAATAAGCAGAAGAGCACCTCAAAGGAAAGCGAATTCAATTACCTGAGCGTAAATTTGAATTTAAAGCGAAAGGCGTGTTCTGACAGTGCGTAGATCTTATTAAAAAAGTTTTTAAGTGGTTTGGCCTGGTTGATGTCAGTTAGTGCTTACTGTTTCGGAAAGAAATTTATGATTTATCATCGGTGATAAAATACTTCATGGCTTCCTTAATTTGTGTCCTTGCTTGCATACACAGCCGATGGGTTCATCACTTCATAGTCAGATATTCAGAACACAAAGAAATTCTTCTTACATTGAAATTTGATCATTAAGTACACCCAATTAACACGAATACATTGATATATGCGTTTCTTGAAAGATTTTATTTGTAAATTATGAATATTTGTTTAAATTAAATGGTGGAAAAGTTGCAAAACAAACAGAATATTATTTACAATTTCTTAATCCGATTGAATAATGAACAGCCTCATACAAAAAAGCACAAAAATGTAGAGAACAGACTATCAATTTTTTTTTTACCTAAATATTTTTTTAATCTTCATATATTTATATTCTTAATTTCGCATTTATTTAGCACTTTTTCCCCCCACAGAAAACTTGTCATACAGTCACACCAGCAAAATCACAATTCCCCTTGTTACTTCGTGTCTTTGTGAGCAACTTGTCCCCCTTTTAACGGCGCACCGACAATCACTCAACTTCCGACATTCCGTGAGAAACGTTTACTGACTCTTAATTGTAATTGTGCTTTCTACACTTTATATTTCACTGATACCGACGCTTCGAGCGCACAGCTGGCAGATGTCTTGAGGCAGTCACAGATCTGTCGCTACAATTGTCAATGCAGCAGATGTTGCTTGTAGGTTGCGGGCGCATCCGACGCGGCGCAGATGGGCTGAACTGAAACTGTTGCAATCCAATGCATTGTGAGGAGGTGTGTTTTATTTGGCACGGACGCCCTACGCCGTTCGTGTAATGACGCCCGCAGGACACCGGACCCCAAAATGTTATTCGAGAACAGTTCTGGGGGGCGGAGTCACAAGTGGCTACTCTAACTACTAGCTTATGTTGATATTGTGTCTGGTGGAGGGGGAAGCGGTTAACTGCTGGCGCATATGGCGGGGAATCTGTGGTGGGGGAAGTTTACTCTTGTTGCCACATAGCGACCAATAGGAAGAGCAGCTGCAGTCACGCGCATGCTACAAGTCCCGCCCACTGCGTACATGATACAGTTGGTTCCATGGGGTTGGGCTGTAACTTTCATCGGATGCGACGGCTTTCTTTGTGAGCCATTGCTTCTTCTTCTTATTCTTCTCCTTTGTCTGAGGAGCTTAAGCCTCGCATTGGTTGCGTGCAACAGTGGAACATGAATAGTACAAACTAAGACATGACCTCTGCCCCCTCCGCGGCCCTGTGGCCTTATTGAGAAACCGCCAGGCGCTCACTTCTCAAGAACTTTCCAGCATTTTATGGAACCCGAAGGTTCATTACCGTGTTCACAAGAGCCCTTCACGGGTCCCTATCCTCAGCCAGAGAATCCAGTCCGAACTCTCACCCTATTTCTCTAAGACCAATTTTAATATTATCTTTCCTATATACGTCTACGTCATCCCAGTTTCTTCTGTCTCCCCAAACCAAAACCTTGTACGTATTTTTCTTGTCCCCATGCGTGCTATATGCCCTGCCTATCTCATGCTTTTGACTTAATTATTCTAATTATATTCAAAATAACAGTAAAATAGTCATAATTTATTGTTCCATTTGTGGGCTCTCGGTACATTTATTTGAACTAAAGAAAGTAAATTTGTCCCGTGCGTAATTAATTAAGCAACACGTCATGAAGACGTATGGGGGAGGTGAGTGGTGAGTTTCACGCCCCTGTCGCTTAGATCTCGAGAAATGTGAGCCCGGAACCCATAGGATATGAGTCTGAGTGCGTCCCAGAGACGGTGCAGATGCTGTGGAGCAGAAAAATCTTGCCTCGGCCGGCAATCGAACCCGAGCCGTCAAGCCCGCAGCCTATCGCTATTACCGTCCCTTTTGTAAGATCTGAAATAAAGCGTTCCTTCTGCACAGGCCACGGATGCTGTGCGAAGGTACAGCAGAGGCCTGTAGGGCAGATGTGCCCAGTTTCGTGACGTAGGTAATTGAGCTTATGTTTACCCGTAGCACGACAATCTAAATTAGGCACAAAATTATGCAAACCTGTGTTGCACAGGTTTAATACTTCTCCATGGATGGTTCCATTTTGGACGTTTATAAAGCTATACCGGCTTTCATGATTCACGTTAATCGTGATTTTCCTCAGTGCTCCCAAACAAATGTTGGGATGCGTTTATATCAATCAGGCCAGCAGCTTTTCCTTCTGAATACTCCCAAGTTCATTGTTCACCAATCGTTTTAGTATTCCACTCCAAGCCCGAAACATTAACAGCGTCGTTAAACAAACGACAAAAGGAATAGGCCAAGAGCTATCCTATATCTTGCTGACGAACTTGACACTATTGGCGTTTATGCTGTATATCCTACTGCACTATTCGATCGCTTCATAGGCTTACATAAATACATACACAGAACACTGCGTCGTGTAGACCCGCCATTGGGTGACGACCTCGGAACTCACAATGAAAAAACACTTAATAAGCAAGTATAAGAAGCCGTTACCGGGTAACACCTTGGCAAATAAACACGTTCTCACAGAAACTATTGCAGTACAACAATGAACGATGTTGTCTCTGCGGTGCGTGCCGAGATGTTATAAGCAAGGGACAAGTTTAGAAGTCAATCACCCCCGTGTGGAGGCGGTGTCGAATACCTCCACCGTGGCCCTGCGAGTCGTAAGAGGCGACGAAACGGGACGTCTTAAATCTGAGACAGTAAAATATGGTCTCGAGTCCCAAGGTACTCGGACCCGAGAAAGACTGCGCTAGCAAGGGCCAGCAGCATGTACAAATGACAGACACGTCCTCTCGTCAGAGAGGGCGCCCCACAAAACATGACCGTAACTGTCAAGCAGTAATAAATATCTGGTCATGAGTCCCAGATGGGGTTCGACACCAAGACTTACTGACTGACCGTCAGTCGTAATGTGACTTTGACTTTGAGATGTCAGTCAGTTGTCAACTGTATGGGAGCCTGTGAAGAGAAGACTTAGTCGGTGCAGTGAGCACGGAAGCTGAAGAAACTCCAGTGTTAGAAGCCGTTACTAGGAAACGACTGGTAAAGACACAGAAGACTAAGAAGATATAGCGTGTTCTATAGTGATTTGTAAAGTGTTGACATCAGCGATGGCGCTATAATTAAGTGTAATCACGAGTCGTGTGTTAAGTGCTCAATAAATCGAATACCCAATCCAATCTAGAGTCACTGTATCACGTGACAATACATTCTTCAAATCACGATCATATCAGCGCTTAGGATCACCACAATTTTACCTGATGATGGCTCAGTGCGGCCTAAACATGTCGTGATTTTTATTTGGAGCGTGGACTAAATGGTCATTCTACCAATTACATACACGTATATAGCTTATTGAAGAATGTATTGTATATAACAGAGAATGTTTCTAAATTACTGTCAGGGTTTCCGTGGCTTTTAAACGGAAACCCCGACAATAATTTAGACTCATCCTGTACCTCAAGTGAACT